AACCAAGTGTTTTCCTAAAGGAGCCATTGATGCTTATTCCAGAAGAACAAGCATTTGCAAGGACAGTAATAGATGCCTGGTACTGTGTATGATTGAATATTGGGAGGCATTTATAAAGAGGCTTTTCAACAACCCAAGGATATGAAGTAAGTCTCTGGGAGTGAAGATAGAGAGGAGGTGATCTGACATTCAGAAAACTTAACAGGTAGCATTCATAGAGTTAGAAGCAAACTATTATAAAACAAATTAACTGTACAAACACCAGCCAAATAATACAGAGTGCTTCATTTGACCCTAAGCTTTGTTGCATGGGGTGGAATTTTATCCTTCCTTTTTTGCTCTCTATATGTGCTTCATTTACATAGTTATGGCCATTTGTTCAGTCACCTGAACATTTTGTATCTGGAGCACAGAGTAGGACATATGTGTTTATCAATAGTTAGTTGTTTTAAACTGTTAAATTCAGAGCAGTTTCTTAAATGCTTCTCTATCCTACCTCCACAATAACCAACTGAATATAAAAACAGCAATATCCTTGGACAGTTAACAGGTGAAGTAGCAGTTAGGGGTGCAGTAATGGCACATAACCTAAATAAATAGGAACTTGGCTTTTACCTGACTTTTCTTGACAGGATGGCAATTTTACTCAGTTAATCTGTCAATAGAATTAATGTGTTCAGATGATTTATTCAACACACATGGCATAGTTTAGTGTGATCTTAGATTTAATACTATAACAGTGCTTCAAAAAACTCATGGGAAAAATGGGATTAAAAGATACGTTTATTTTGGTGCAAAAGTATTTTGAAATTTCTGTATAATTTTTTCATAATTTAGATTATAGATCTCTTTTTGTGTTGAGTAATGCATAGAGATTAACTGCTTTCATAGATCAGTTTACATATGTAATCATTTAAAGTTTATTATCAATAAAACCCTTTGAGGGGTCTGTGACATCAAAACTGCTCTCATAATAATACTATGAGATTATTTGTTTATTTGAATGTGCTGAAATTTGTACTGATGGTGCAAAAACAATGATAGATAAAACTGCTGCTGCCTTAGCATGAATCAAGGCAGTGGCACCAAACAGATGAAGCAGATTGGAATCAGAAGTAGATGTGAGTCCAGCTGCCTTCTGTTAAATTGGACATTAAAGAGAGTTTTTAAATGTAAGACAGTGGCTCCTAACAAATTTATTTTAAGAGTATAGTTCTTTTTTCTCAAAAACTATTTATGTTAGAACATAAAGGATTTTTGGGGGCCTGTGCTGTGGTGTAATGGGTAAAGCCGCCGCCTGCAGCGCCAGCATCCCGTATGGGCGCCAGTTTGAGTCCTGGCTGCTCCTCTTCCAATCCAGGTCTCTGCTGTGGCCTGGGAAAGCATTAGAAGATGGCCCAAGTCCTTGGACCCCTGCACCCACGTGGGAGACCCAGAAGAAGCTCCTGGCTCCTTGCTTTGGATCGGTGCAGCTCCGATGTTGCAGCCAATTGGGGAGTGAACCAGTGGGTGGAAGACCTCTCTCTGCCTCTCCTTTTCTCTCTGTGTAACTCTGACTTTCAAATAAGTAAATAAATATTTAAAAAAAAAGACTAAAAAGGATTTTGTTGTATTGAAATTAACATATATATTTTAAAATCTTTGGTGGGGCAGCATTGTGGCATAGCAGATTAAGCCACCACATGTGATGCCAGTATCCCATTTGGGTGCTGATTCAAGTCCCAGCTGCTCCACTTCTGATCCAGCTCCCTGCTAATGCACCTGGGAAAGCAGTGAAAGATGATCCAAGTGCTTGGGCATTTGCACCCATGTTGGAGGCCCAGATGGAGTTCCAGAATCCTGGTTTCTGCCTGATCCAGCCCCAGCCGTTGCAACTGTTTGGGGAGTGAACCAGCACGTGGAAGATTCTCTCTCTCTCTCTTTCCATCTCTTCCTCTGTATAACTGCCTTGCAAATAAATAATCTTTAGAATCTTTTAAAATTTTTATAATAAATAAATTTTATAATAAATAAATGAAGAGTTGTAACCTGCATAAATAAAATTTCTTTAGAGTCTTCGATAATTTCTAAGCTGAAAGGGTCTATGAGATCAAAAATCTAAAGAATTTCTGTTCTATAGGATAAAATCCAAGCTTGGGGATATCATCCATAAGTCCTTTTATCATGGCTGCTGCCACATCTTCTACCTTCTATTCTGTCTCATTTCCCTTCCACCCTATTATTCCGTAAGATGGAAACACTTTTGAGCAAGCGTTGGGGCACAGCTAGAAAAGCTGATATTTGGGACATCAGTATCCCATATCTGAGTACAGATTCAAGTCCCTGCTCCTCCTTTTCTCATCCAACTCCCTGCTAGTGAGTCCTGGGAGGCAGCAGATGATGGCTCAAATACTTGAGTTCCTTTCACCCACATGGGAGACCCATTTGGAGTTCCTGGTTCGTAGCTTCAGCCTAGACCAGCCATCCTCTGGTTCACTCCCCAAATGACTACAACAGCCTGGGCCGGGCCCGGTTGTTTCCATCATATTTTACTTCCCTAAAGCTGACTAGTCTCCTTCAGCATCTTTTGTAGTACAGGTTTGCTGGTAACAAATTGTTTTAGTTTTATTTTGTCTGAAAATGATTTTATTTTACCACCATTCTTTTTAAAAAATGAGAATTTTAGACAGAGAGAAATAGAGAGGGAAAGAGAGAATTTCTGTTTTCTTGAAGAATTTTGTGTTGATATAGAATTTCAAGTTGATGGTTTTGTATATTTTTAGAGCACATTAAAAATACCAATTGTCCATTGACTTCCATTGTTTCTACTGAGAAGTCTGGAGTCATTGAGATTGTTATTCCCTATATTCAATGTGTCATCCATTATCATTTCAGCTCCAACTTCTCTGAAGTCCTCATTGTATCTCTCTAACTTGATCTATTGGAATGAAATTATGTATTACCAATCTTGTAAAGGCAGTTTGTTCCATTCATTCAGCCAGTAGGTATGCTGTCACCTCAAATGCCAATTTTCTACTTTTTATATGCAGTACATTCTTCACAGCGTAGTATATCTTTGTATGTCCGCAATACTTCTTTTTTCCCTGTACTAATGTAACTTCATTATTTGTTTTCTTCTTAAAGGTATACTATCACTCTTCTAGTCACTTGGACTCAAAATTGTGGTGTCATCTTTTTCTTTTGCCCATGGTATCCAGTGTGTCACTTCTTGTTTAGAAATACTTTATATTCATTATTTCCTTGGTGCACAAACTACAACAAAATATTTTGTGATATAATGTTTGAATTGTTTCCAATTATTGTGCAAGACAATTTCAAAAGCCTTTGCTATTCTTTTTATTCATATTCTTTTCTTCAGATCACATTGTCTAACATTATTACATTAGTAATTTTACTACAATACTACTTTTATTTTGCATTATGCTGCCCAATATTTTCAGTGCCTCCCTTTCTCCAGAAATGTTTCCCTTTTGAAGAAAAATAATTTTCATGGACTCTTTTTTTAAAAAAAATTTACTTATTTATTTGAGAGGTAGAATTACAGACAGAGAGAGGGAGAGACAGCAAAGTCTTACATCCACTGACTGACTCCCCAAATAGCTGCAACAGCTGGAGCTGGGCTTATTGGAAGCCAGGAGTGAGGAGCTTCTTTGGGATCTCCCACGGAGGAGCAGGGGCCTAAGCACTTGGGGTACAGATAACTCTTTCATAAGCTGATTTCTTTTGGTATGGGAAAATTTCCAGGAGTGGTATGGCTGGACCATATGGTAGGTCTGTATTCAGGTTTCTAATGTATCTCCATATTGTCTTCCAAAGTGGCTGCATAATAGCATTAATTTGAAAAAGGATGTTGTTCTATAAAATCAAGCCCAGCTAAATATGGTACAAAGGGAGTTATGTGTGGGCCTGTACTACTCTGATGAATCAAGTAGCCCACCACTTTCTGCTTTGAAACGCTTGAGAAACATTTGCTACTGAAGCATGCTGTGACATCATTTGACCTTCATTTGGTACAAATGTACAATCTGAGAAATAGATCCAATTCTGTCTTTTTCTCAATCTTCAGCCTGCCACAATTAAAATAGTCATACTTGGCTCTAGTAAGATAATAAATGAAAATGTACGTTCAGGCAATAATACTACTTGGTGATTTAGGGTTACTAGATGAGCATCCAGATAATACAGCATATGGAGTTTGTGTGTATGTGTGTGTATGTGTGTGGGTGGGTGGGTGTGTCTAAGATAGAGGCAGAGAAAGTTTTAGCTGACTTGAAAAAAGAAACTTGGAATTTTTATTGCAAACAAATAGAATCTCAGATTTGGTCCTCTACCTCCAAAGCTATAAAATTTGTAATAAAGATCACTCATCTGTGGGATAATGGCCAAATTCCTCATGTTGATATCCAAGGCCTTCGTTAATTTGGTTTCAATCTCTTTTCCTTTTCAATTTTATTTTCCTTTTCTGCTCTCCTACTGTCAAGTGAGCATGCTCCTTTTTCGGATGTGTTCCTTCTCTCCTGTCCATATATAAGTCTAAATGTTTACAACCTCTAGTGACCATTCGTCTTTCATTTCCCATGGAAGGTTCCGCCTATCTTTTCAGTTTTAATTTGACTTTTCTACTTCTCTGAAATGCTCTTTGTTTTTTTTCTGTATCTAGTACTTTGATGTTTCAGTGTTTTATAATGTTAATTTTAAGTTGTTTGATTTTTATATTCTCTACATCACTATACTTTTAGAGATTTGAAGGCAAAATAATATCTTAAACGGTTTTTACCTAATCCTCAGGACCATTGTTGATTTTCTTGAAGCACTTACTGAGGGAATCAAATGATTAAATGTATTGCTCAGTATTAAGGATTTACTTTCTCTGGCAAGAATGTATATTTTCTTCACATGGAGGATAAGGATGGTAGTTTGATGTGGAAAATTTACATTTCTAAGAAACTAAAATACTTTAAAAATTTATATTTTTGCAATCATTTGTTCTTCATTTTCAGGACTCCTGGGAAAGATCCTGATGGCTATTCGAGATGCAGGATTTGAAATCTCAGCCATGCAGATGGTAGGCAGTTTGCAATAAGCCATAATGTATTGAGGAATTATTTTTTAATAAACTCTTAAATGTTTTATATTAAATGTTCTATGTGTACTCATGGATTCAACTCATTAAAAATGAAAAACATATTTAGTGAACTCAATAACATTTTTATCATTAAATGTCTTTGAAATGGTTTTATTCATATATCTTTTTCTACATACGAGTGAGAATGTGGAATTTGTCTTGCTGTGCCTAGCTTATTTTACTTAACTAGTTGGTATATCTGACCCTTTAGGGGTAATGGAGAGCTTATGGGCTCCACAATCATTTATTTTGGAGTCAGAAAAACCTAGTTCTGTATCTGGAGCTTACTACTTTCTAGGCATGTGACTTTGGCTGATGTCAAACATCCTTATTTTCAGTTTTCTCATCTAAACAATGAGAATATTATTGTTTCCTAATTAGGTTATTTTGCAGACTAAATTAAGTAACCACATATAATTTCTTACGAAGTTTCTAGCTCAAATTCCTAAGCATTTAATAACTTATATCTTTTTATTATCAGTTGGTTGCATGAATAATAAAAATAATGTGATAGTAGTATAAAACACTGAAATCAAATAGGATTTCCTGCTTATAATTTGAGCAATAGTGTTGCCTATGAAGACAAATTCTCCCAACTTGAATTGTTATCTTTGTAGGCTGAAATTCTCCTTGTTCATCAATCTTGGTGACAATAGGGAGAAAATAAAATTGAATTTTCTGAGACTATTTTACAAAAATAAATATTTTAGTTTTTGAGAACCTACAACTTAATGTAGCTTTTTAAAATTTCTAACTAGATTCAAATATAGCCTTGATAAGAATAAGTAAGCTTACTCTTACAATTCTTGTTGAAGAGTAGTAGTCAGAAGTCCAGATGACTTGTACAAGTGTTTCATTAAAAACAAATCTAGGAATTTTTTTCTAAATGCTTGGGGGAGGGGTGGTATTATTTTTACTCCCTTTATAAAATCTGAGCCATTTATCTTTAGTCGTATTTATTTCTTCTACCACCAAACATTACAATGCATATGAATCAAAAGTAAGGTTTTATTATTGAGATGTGGTGTAGTGAGTAAGGTTATGATACATGGGTCAGACTGCTTGAATTCAAATGCCAATTTGGAAAGTTTACATCCTCTCTCTGAGTCTAGTAGCCTCTTTTTAAATTTTTTTTAATTTATTTGATGGGTAGAGTTACAGACAGTGAGAGAGAGACAGAGAGAAAGGTCTTCCTTCCATTGGTTCACTTCCCAAATGGCTGCCACGGCCAGTGCGGCCAGCGCTGTGCTGATCTGAAGCCAGGAGCCAGGTGCTTCCTCTTGGTCTCCCATGTGGGTGCAGGGGCGCAAGCACTTGGGCCATCCTCCACTGCCCTCCTGGGCCACAGCAGAGAACTGGACTAGAAGAGGAGCAACCAGAACTAGAACCCGGTGCCCATGTGGGATGCCAGCGCCGCTGGTGGAGGATTAACCAAGTGAGCCACGGTACCGGCCTCGAGTCTAGTAGCCTCTTAAAACTGGGGTTGTTAATACTACCTATGCCATAGGATTGTTGTGAGGAGTAAATGTGGTAATGCATATATGAAACCTAAAACAATGTTTGACACCTTACGTACTCAGTAATTGTTATCATTGTTATTATAGATGATCCAATCTTTAGTAACACTTTTTTGCAAAGAGTAATTTATGCAAGGCTTGCATTTGAAAGTGAAGAACATATTGGGGTGGATATTGTGGCAGTGGTAGGTTAGCTATTTCTTAGGACACCTACATCTATTCACGTTGGAGTCCTGGCTACTCAACTTGAGATCCTCTTCCTGTTACTGCATCCTGGGAGGCAGCAGATAATGGCTTCAGTGCTTGGACCCCTGCCACCCACATGGACGACCTGGTTGGCATTCCTGCTTCTTGGTTTTGGCCTGGCCCAGCCCTGGCTATTGTAGGCATTTGGGAAAGTGAACCAGACAATGGAAGATTCTCTCTCTCTCTCTCTCTCTCTCTCTCTCTCACTCCTCACTCTCTCTCTCTCTTTCTCTCCACTCTTTTTATCTCCCTCCCTTTGTCACTCTGCTGTTCAAATAGATGAAAAATAACATTTTATAATATCAAATATGATATATATATATATCTTTCAGGCCATAAATGTGGAATGCTAAATGTGACTCATTTATTTTTCTTTCTTCACTGGCTTATGGTTTTCTTCTGTTTTTTAATATAGTTCAATATGGACCGGGTTAATGTTGAAGAATTCTATGAAGTTTATAAAGGAGTAGTGTCTGAGTATAATGTAAGTATCGAGGTAAATATAAAGCGTTGGTACTAAAAACATTATGTGTACAGTGGCCCTCCTTTATCTGCAGTTTCATTTTCTACAATTTCAGTCACCCAACATCAACTGTGGTCTGAAAATATTAATATTTTTCTTGATGAAAAAGAGAGAGACCACATTCACAGATTTTTAAAAATTCTGTAAGAATATATTCTAGGCCGGCGCCATGGCTCAATAGGCTAATCCTCCACCTTGTGGCGCTGGCACATCGGGTTCTAGTCCAGGTCGGGGCGCCGGATTCTGTCCCAGTTGCCCCTCTTCCAGGCCAGCTCTCTGCTGTGGCCCGGAAGTGCAGTGGAGGATGGCCCAAGTGCTTGGGCCCTGTACCCCACGGGAGATCAGGAGAAGCACCTGGCTCCTGCCATCGGATCAGTGCGGTGCGCTGGCCACAGCGCGCCAGCCGCGGCGGCCATTGGAGGGCGAATCAATGGTAAAAAGGGAAGACCTTTCTCTCTGTCTCTCTCTCTCACTGTCCACTCTGCCTGTCAAAATAAAAAAAATTCTGTAAGAATATATTCTTAGAATTATTCTATTTTATTTGTAGTTGTTTTAAATCTCTTGGTATTCCTAATTTATAAATTAAATTTTATCATAGATTTACATAGGCAAAATCATAGTATATATAGGGATCAGTACTAGCCTCAGGATCAGGCGTCCACTGGAAGTCTTGGAAATGGATTTGGGGGGTGTGGGGAGGGTGGTTATTGTATCTCAAATCTGGATGATCTCAATTTAATTTATAATCTGAAAGTATTCCTTAAAATATTCCTTCTGCAGGTGGCCAGGTGATTAAATCCAGCCTCTGGTGCATTCTTACACCTGACTGCTTGTGGAAGATATGACATCATTTCCTTTATGAAACAAAAAATATACAAGAAAATTTTTAAAAACATCATCAATGACAAAACAAACCTTGTCTTCTATGAAGTGTTTAATATCCTCAAAGTGGAAAACTGTCCAAAATGCTTTAGCAAGTAAAAATCAAATTGTTGGGGCCAGTGTTGTGGTATAGAGGGTAAAGCCACCACCTGCAATAATGCTGGTTCTAGTCATGGATGCTCCACTTACAATCCAGCTCCATGCTAATGTGCCTGGGAAAGCAGTGAAGGATGGCCCAAATGCTTGGGCCCCTGCACCTATACCTACATGGAAAACCCAGGAGAAGCTCTTGAATCCCAGCTTCCTGGCTTCCTAGCCTAGCCCTAACTGTTGCCACTACTTGGGGAGTGAACCGGTAGCTGGAAGATACCTCTATTTCTCTCCCCACCTCTCTGTAACCTGTAACTCTGCCTTTCAAATAAATAAAAGTTTTAAAGAAAATACTTTTAAGGCCAGCCTTGGGGCACAGTGTGTTAAGCCATTATCTGTGATGCTGGCATCTCACATGAGCCCCTGTTTGCGTCCTGGCTGCTCCACTTCCAATCCAGCTCCCTACTAACACACCTGGGGGAGCAGCGGAAGATGACCTGAATGCTTGGGCTCCTACCACCCACGTGTGAGGCTCAGATGGAGTTCCAGGCTCCTGGCTTCGGCCTGGCTGAACCCTGGCTATTGTGGCTATTTGGGTAGTGAAACAGCAGGCAGAAGTGCTCCCCTGGCCACCTCTCTCACTAAGTCTGCCCTTCAAATGAATAAATAAATCTTTAAGAAGAAATGCAAATAATTCTTCACATTATAGTTTAACTCATCAACAAAACTTAATACCCGCATTAGTAACATAAATGCATCTGAACCAACTGAAACTGTGACTGAGTTTGAAGAAACAGTGATGAAAGTAAATTGTTCAAAGGATGATGAAATTCATTCATGAAAACAAATGACTACATTGAGCAACCCAGTTTTGTTCCTTAGCACATAGCAGATATTTATTAGAAGTTAGTTTCCTTTCCCTCCTCTTTCAGATTTTCTCGGATATGTTCTTGGCAGCACACTGCGTAGCACCCATGTTGTTTTCCAGGGAGTTTTGGCCTTTCTCTTTGAGTAAAGTTTGCTATTCATGACAATGAGATTAGTTTTCTCCACGCCTTGCTTTTCTGTACCTTTTCCTTTTAACCTGACCTGGGCCTTTGTCTTATTTATTCATACATAGCAATAGCTGATTATGAAATATTTTCTTTTGAGTCTTGCGTATTGATACTACTTCACTCTCCACTCTTTTTTAAGAAGGACCAGCGTGCTTTTCCCTTTGTGGTAGTTTATCAAAGCTTTCAGTTATCAGCTTCTTCGTTTTAGTATTATCCATCTTTTCTGAAATGGAAGAGATTTTACGGTGTGCGCTTATTTTTATGTCATTTCTTCAATCAATGATAATTTTTTTTTTTACAGGCAGAGTGGACAGGGAGAGAGAGAGAGACAAAGAGAAAGGTCTTCCTTTGCCGTTGGTTCACCCTCCAATGGCCGCCGCGGCTGGCGCGTTGGGGCCGGCGCACCACACTGATCTGAAGGCAGGAGCCAGGTGCTTCTCCTGGTCTCCCATGGGGTGCAGGGCCCAAGCACTTGGGCCATCCTCCACTGCACTCCCGGGCCACAGCAGAGAGCTGGCCTGGAAGAGGGGCAACCAGGACAGAATCCGATGCCCCCACCAGGACTAGAACCCCGTGTGCCAGCGCCGCAAGGCGGAGGATTAGCCTATTGAGCCGTGGTGCCGGCCTGTTTTCCATTTTTGTTGCTTTTATTTATTTTCCTTAATTTATTGCTTCAATATGTCTCTTGAAAAATATGGTTAAGTACAATGACCTTCTTTACTTCACATTATATAATGTTATTGTCTATAAGAGAAATTCATGGAGACACAAGCCATAGCACCCTTGATCTTCAGTTATACAAATATTCATATATAATATAATAAAGTAATGATGCCAGCGCCACCATAGCTCAATAGGCTAATTCTCCGCCTGCGGCGCCGGCACACCGGGTTCTAGTTCCGGTCGGGGTGCCGGATTCTGTCCTGGTTGCCCCTCTTCCAGGCCAGCTCTCTGCTGTGGCCAGGGAGTGCAGTGGAGGATGGCCCAAGTGCTTGGTCCCTGCACCCCATGGGAGACCAGGAGAAGCACATGGCTCCTGGCTTCGGATCAGCGCAGTACACCGGCCGTAGTGGCCGTTGGGGGGTGAACCAATGGCAAAAAGGAAGATCTTTCTCTCTGTCTCTCTCTCTCACTGTCCACTCTCCCTGTCAAAAAAATTAAAAAAAAATTTTAAAAATTAATAAATTTGGTTAAAAAAAAAGCAAGGAGGGGTTGGTTGAGGAATATTTAGTGTAGAAGTTAAGATGCCTGTGTTCCCTATCAGAGTACCTGGGTTTGATTCCTGGCTCTGACTCTTGCCCCCCAGCTTCCAGCCTGTGCAGACTCTGAAACAGTGCTAATGGCTTGAGTAATTGGATTTCATGGGAGAGACCTGGATTGAGTCCTAGGCCACTGGCTTCAGCCTTGGCCCATCCCCTGTCATGGGGGCATTTTAGGAGAGAAAGAGCAGCTAGGGAATTCTCTCTGTGTTTCTTTCTGCCTCTCAGATAAATGATTTAAATTTCTTTGAAATAGTAGTTGATAGCACTCATGTTTTAGTTCTATGCTTGAGGTATACCATATTTCCCTTTGGAAAGCAGCTTTTAAAAGGCAATCCATCTATGACATTTACGTCTGCTATATTGTACTTTAAAATACCATATATGCATTTTCTGCTTATCTAATATATGCTTACTCTTAGAACTTTTTGATCTTGGGATTCTAGTGGTAAAATAATAGCATAGTGAGTGAGTATATCACTTTCCCTCTAAAATCAGTACTTTTGGTGATAGTAGCAATGTGTAGTATTGGGATAGCACAGAAATGGTGTTGATAAATTTTCCTTTGCATACCGGTTCAGTAGGATATTCAGTATATTCAGTATACTTAACTATTTAAATTTTGCAGTCCTTATAAAAAGGTCTACCTAGAAGAAGAATGGGTGTTTGGGAAGAAAAAACTACATCACATAAATAATTATTTTGTGAATAATCTTTATGATTAATTATTCAGCTTAAAAAAGCTGATCAAGCTTAAAATATATCAAATCAGTATTTTTATGGTTAATAAAAGAATGCGTGGAATATATAAACCATAGCATATCAATATCTAGGTATTTTTTTGCCATTGCTATGTTTATATAACATTTTAGCTAATAAAAAGATGGCTGCTTGAAAGATTTCCCCAGACGTAACTAGGAATGTTTTTATCACACTAATATTCTGTTGAAGTAAATGATGCTCTCATGAGTGGTATTTAATCTCTCATGTTTTTAAAGGAAAAGTCATATTGCTGGTTCTATTTCATTCTGAATTTAAATTATATTGGCATAGAGTTATGAAATAATCCTCTTAAATGTAGAACATATAGTATAGAATATATATTCTGTGTATTTGTAAGTGTAGAGTCTATAGAAACAATTACAGAATCACTGACATTGTTGTACCAGATGTTGTTTGAAAGCCTAAAGGTTTTCACATGTTGCTTGCTTCAAGCTATAGATTTTCCATATCTTGCAAAATTCATTGCAACTTGCTAAACTCAATTCACCATGAGGTCAAATGCTTAATTCAAACACTGAATCCTTGTATGGTCATTAAGCCTTGATTAACTCATCTATAAAATGGGAGCAATGCTATTACTTATGTTGTGAGTTTGTTGTGGGAATTAGATGAAATGAGTCATATAAAGTAGTTTCATGTATTGTTGAGAGTATTCAGTAAATATCGGAGGCTATTATTAATTTATTAACATTTTGTGACATTCTGTGCTAATGGATTCTGTGTTGATCATTTATACTTGTATTTCTTATATCTACATTTATAGTCATAAAAAGTGGTCATTTCTACTTCATGGTGTTATGATTCATTAATTCATCACACATACATTAAGTATCTACTACACACCAAACAATGCAGGATGAACAAAAAAGTGTACCACCTGCATTCATAGTTTATTTTCTATGGAGGATAGACATTAAATCAAGCTATTCCACAAATAACTACCCACAGACACAGACGGTGGTCAAAGAACTGTAAAAGAAACAGAGAGGTTCTTTTATAAAATTTGTTACTTTATTAAAAGCTACTTAAAAATTCTCAGGTTTTTAAAGAACACATTATATTTTGATGAAGTTTTCAGTTTTCTTTTTTTTTTTCAGTTTTGTGTATTTTGAGCAGTTATGTGTCTATATTTTTAACACTATCTTTTATCAACATAGAGTGAATAATAAGAGGCAAAGGGAAATACAAGGAAAGAGTGAAAGAAGGAAGGCGGGGGGGGGGGGGGGAGAGAGAGAGAGGGAAGGAGGCAGGAAAAGAGGCAGACAAAATTGACCCCTCTCTGAAAAATGTGTTCACATGCCATCTACTCCTACGGAAAACTTTACTCTTGAGATATATATATATATACACACATATATATATGCACACACATGCAAATATATATAGTACTTTAATATCATCAGGTAGAAAATCAAACTCACAATTATCTATTTTAAAAATACTACAGTGACATTTGTGAAATAGTGAAGTGTCTTCATGGGATGAGTTTGGGGATTATAATGGCAGGATTATGTGTACCATATTAATTAATGAAGTCCTTTCTCTTGTATTTTAACTTCTGTCATTTCTATTAGGTAAAGCAACTGAGTTTGGGTTAATATTTGAGTATATTCTGTAATAAATTATTTTGTTTTGGTGTTGTATATCATAAGTCCCCAAAGTGATCAAAATGACCTACATGGCCCTACACGATTGGGCCTCATCTCTTTATTTTCCTGTAGTCGCACTCAACTGTTGATACCTTGGTTCCTTGGTTCTTTGGTTGACTTCGTATATTCTGGCCGTCTACTTCAGTCTCTGTATTTGTTTTCACTTCTCATAATGAAATATTTTCTCAAGTATTCTTTCCAGAGGAAGAAAAGAAGATTTATTGAGTATTCAAGACACACTGACTGATAGGCACTTTTCTTTATTCCTGTTTCCATTATACTACCTGATATTTATGAAACTTAAAATAGTATACTTAACATCTCCACCTTCTGATCCTATGTGCTGTTGTTTTCATATATTTTAGTTGCATATGTGTAATTGTATTTTATAGTTACCCACACGTTTACTGTTATTTTGTATAGGTCCCTATTTTTACCTGGTGTTTTTGCCCTTTTATTTGAAGAATATAACATTTAAAAAATATTTAAGGCTGTTGCTGATGGTAAATCTCTCAGCTCTTGTTTGTCTGAAGAGTCTTTACTCTTCCCTCAACTGAAAAATATTTTTCTGCCTGAATTTCAAATTCTAGACTGATCGATTTTATTGATGGTATTGTTGTCATCCTTATCTTTGTCTTGCTGCTGTGTAGTATGTCTCTTTTTTCCCTTCTGTTTTTAAAGTTTTTAACTAATTTGATTTTTGTTATGCCCATTGTACTTTTATTTATATTTATTCTCCTTGGGTTCTGTTTGAATTTTGATTATGGATTTCAACAAATTTGGCAAGTTTTTTCCAATTATTTCTTAAAATATTTTTCTGTTCATCAGCTTTTTGTCTAGTACTCCATATATATATATATATATATATACATACATAGTTTGATTTTTGTCCCACAGGTCAATTTTTGTTTTCATTTTTATTTATTCTTTTTTTTTACTTTTATTTAATGAATATAAATTTCCAAAGTACGGCTTATGGATTACAATGGCTTCCCCCCCATAACGTCCCTCCCACCCGCAACCCTCCCCTTTCCCATTCCCTCTCCCCTTCCATTCACATGAGGATTCATTTTCAATTCTCTTTATATACAGAAGATCAGTTTAGCACACATTAAGTAAAGATTTCAACAGTTTACTCCCACACAGAAACAAAGTGAAAAATAATAGATGATTTTTTAAATGATGATGAAATCAGATCAGACCTATTGTCATGTTTAATCCCAGCGAGAGTCAAGTTGGGAATTGATAATTTCTTCTTTTTTAACAGATCAGTTTAGTATACATTAAGTAAAGATTTCAACAGTTTGCACCCCCATAGAAACACAAAGTGAAATATACTGTTTGAGTACTCGTTATAGCATTAAGCCTCAATGTACAGCACATTAAGGACAGAGATCCTACATGAGGAGTAAGTGCACAGTGACTCCTGTTGTTGACTTTACAAATTGACACTCCTGTTTATGGCATCAGTAATCTCCCTATGCACCAGTCATGAGTTTCCAAGGCTATGGAAGCCCCTTGAGTTCTCCGACTCTTATCTTGTTTAGACAAGGTCATAGTCAAAGTGGAGGTTCTCTCCTCCCTTCAGAGAAAGGTACCTCCTTCTTTGAAGACCTGTTCTTTCCACTGGGATCTCACTCACATAGATCTTTCATTTAGGTGGTGGTGGTGTTGTTGGTTTTTTTTTGTTTGTTTTTTGTTTGTTTTGTTTTGTTTTTTTTTTTTTTTTTTTGCCAGAGTGTCTTGGCTTTCCATGCCTGAAATACTCTCATGGGCTTTTCAGCCAGATCGGAATGCCTTTAAGGCTGATTCTGAGGCCAGAGTGCTGTTTAGGACATCCGCCATTCTATGAGTCTGCTGAGTATCTCGCTTCCCATGTTTGATCACTCTCCCCTTTATTTATTCTCCCAAAGGGACAAATACCATATGTTCGCCCTGATTGGTGACAACTGACTGAACACCAAAAAGGAAACCTGTTGAAGTGAAATCGACACTATGAGAAACGGTGACTTGATCAGCATAGCCCTGACTGTTAATGAACAACTTAATACATTATCCCTCTTAGTAGTTTTTTTTTGTCTGTTCTACTTAATATGACTGGTTTAATTCTGTAATTAATACACAGTTATTCTTAAGTGTTGAAATTTAACTGAAATGTGATCCCTGTTAAACATAAGAGTGGGAATAAGAGAGGGAAGAGATGTACAATTTGGGACATGCTCAAGCTGACTTGCCCCAAATGGTAGAGTTAGAAACATACCAGGGGACTCCAATTTAATCCCATCAAGGTGGCATATACCAATGCCATCTCACCAGTCCAAGTGATCAATTTCAGTTCACAATTGATCATAATGAAAGGACTAAGAGTCAAAGGGAGCACATAAACAAGTCTAGTACCTCATTTTTATTTATTCTTCTGTATCTCAATGCTTATTGTTGAATAGTTTTTATTGAACATCTTCAAATTTATTTACTTTCCTGCAGTGTCTTATGAACACCCCATCCAGTATACTTTTTAATTCAGATGTTTTGTATTTTATCTCCAGAAATTTCATTTGGGTCTTTTCAATATCTTTGATTTTTATCCTTACTACGTCTGTATTTCCTTCTTTAAAACAAAAAGATTTATTTATTCGTTTGAAAGAGTTACAGAGAGGCAGAGGCAGACACACACACACACACACACACACACAGATTGACAGAGAGAGAGAGAGAGAGACCTCCCATCTGTTGGTTTACTTCCCAAATGGCTGCAATGGCCAGAGCTGGGCCAATCCAAAACCAGGAGCCAGGAACTTCTTCCGGGTCTCCCATGTGGGTGCAGTGGCCCAACAACTTGGGCCATTTTCTGCTGCTTTTCCAGACACATTAGCAGGGAGCTGGATCAGAAGTGGAGCAACTGGAACTTGAATCAGCAACCATATTGGATGGTGGCAGCTTCTGCAGGCAGAGGCTTTACCCACTACACCACAGTACCAGCCCCGTATTTTCTTCTATATCTTGAGCACATGGAGCTTATTGTAATAGCTGTTTTAACACATTCTATGTTAATTACATAATTTCTCTTGTTAGGTCTATTTATTGAGTTTTCTTCTGATCATTATTCATATTTTCCTACTTCTCTTTGCATGTCTCGTATTCTTTTATTGGACATTGGATATTGTGAAATTTAGTATTCCATGGTGGATAGTGTCATGTTCTGGAACCTAGGTTGCTTGGCATCAGTTTGACACTTTTGAGGCTTGCTTTGAAGCTGTGTAGGACTGGCACAGAGCCCCTCGTAATCCAGGGCTGGTTTTGCTCAGCGACTGTGTTGTCTTATCCCTCTGAGCACCCCGCCTGTGCTCCTGGTGTCTTAGGAGGGCTTTCCATGCTGGTCGGTAGACGCACAAACTGTTTTCAGCTGCATCCCACCTCTTTGAGTTGTGTGGTCTACTGCTTTCTAGTCATTCTTTTCCCTGCCTTTTGTAGTTTCCTCTATTCCTACCACAAACTCTGAGCCAAAGGCTCATGTGAACTTCTCTGGAGATCCAGTAGTTCACTGCCTGTGTAGCTCCCTTTCTCTTTCCAGTATTTTGCTCTGAAAATTTTTAGTTGCACTGACCTCCCTGAACTCCAGTCTTTGTCTCTTCAACTCAGTAAGAATGTTGGACTGTGTTGTGTTTTGTCTGCCTGTCATACAGTCAGGACCCTGCCTGAAGACATTAAGATGGAACAATTATCTCAACAGTTACAGGCCTGTGCCGTGTGACATCCAGTGTCCATAAGCTGTTTCATTTATTTTTGTTGAATTGTCTAGGTGTTTATTGTTGGTGAATAAATTTGGTCCCTGTTAATTTTTGTTGTTAGAATGCATGGTTTTTAAAATGACTCTTCAGGAGAAACAATTTGTAGGAATGTTAGTATGACATCATTGTACTCGTTAGGGGAGAGATCTCTGAAGTGAAGATAAACTAGAAGATAATTTCAAATAATGAAAGTGTCAGGTAGTAAAACACATAAAATGATGGTAGTAGGAGAAATGGTGACAAGGGAACAAATCTAAAATATATTTTTGCGGGAAAAATAGACAAAATTTGGGACCTACTTAGCATGTGGATTACAGGTGGGAAAGAGAGCAAAGAGAACTTTAACATGTTGAGATTAGTGAAATAGTGGCAGTTATAAGAAGAAATGTAAAAGATCATTAAATTATATTTATTCTTTTGTGTTCTTTTATATTATGTATCATAGGAGATGGTGACAGAAATGTATTCTGGTCCTTGTGTAGCACTGGAGATTCAACAGAATAATGTTACAAAGACATTTCGAGAATTCTGTGGACCTGCTGATCCTGTAAGTTATTGTTTAAAATAAGAATGTAGTTTCTGTTATCCATTAACTAAATATATTAACAGGGTTGGTATTTTTAGTTTGTTCTTTAAAAGAAATAATATAAAAATGATTTTATTATGCAAATAATTTACTTTCATGTAATATTCCAAGAAAAATAATTGTTATTAGCCTTCTGACAATATGGAATTGGACAGAAGTATTTACCGTGTTATTTTTGTTATTGTTTCTTCATAAATTGTTAAGTAATTTTACAAATCTTAGGATAGAAATTATTTAAGGACTTACCAGGTTTGATAAGACCTGGAAGCTGTGTTAGAGGAAGAGAGATGTAAACAGAGATTTGAAAGACAAATCAGACTGTTATGGGAGACATACCCCTTAGAAGTCCCACCTGGGTTGCCAAATAATATCGGAGTATGGGGTACCATTCATGTTACTGGATGCTTATTGATAAATTTGGAATATTCATAAGCCTTGTGGGTTATTGCCTAATATTCAGGGAAGGATTCTGAATATTGGCATAAATGAACAAGGCAGCATGATAAGTTTTAAGCTTTTTATTCAGTGAGAGAAATGCGTAGGAGAGTAAGGGCATTAGTCTAATCCAAGGGAGAAGGGTAATCTGGGTTCATACCGAGCACTGGGAGCCAGCCACGTGGAGGAGCATGCAGGCCAGGAAGCATGGGGCAGGTGGCCCAAAGGCCACACGGCCAAAGGTGTAGGGCAGCAAGCGGGTCCGGGGAAAAAAGGCCGGGCCCACTGTGTTTCAGGCCTTTAATCCACTTCCAAAGGGGAATGGCCAATTAGATTGGCAGGTGGACACACAGGTGTGGTCAGGTAGGGACATGAAGTCACATGGGGTGTGGTGAGGGTGGAAGGCTATTCCAGCTCACAAACCTAATCAATTTTATCCTGTATGCCTGCCTAGAGCAGGACCACCAAAAGAATGTCCTAATGTGTGTGCAAAGACAATAATGAAATAATTTTCAAATTTACTATCATAGCATACCACAGCAAGAATATTTCCCTGACTTCAGTGAGAAATTTATATGTGAAAGCCTGAGGAAACATGTTTGTTTAGATAGAGGCTAGTAGAAAAGAATGTGATACGGGGGATATTCAGAAAAGCCAGAAAAAGGAGGATTCCATATCATTTGAATCCCATATGTATGAAATAGGAATTCCTAAGATGTAGTTTAATTTTGATTATGCTGAATTATTCCTTTGATGCAACTAGAGTGAACTAAATTGAAAGACATTAAAAACAGAGGCTCGGGGCCGGCGCCATAGCGCAGTAGGTTAATCCTCCACCTGCGGTGCCAACATCCTTATGGGCACCAGTTCTAGTCCTGGCTGCTCCTCTTCCAATCCAGCTCTCTGCTGTGGCTTGGGAAGGCAGTGGAGGATGGCCCAAGTGCTAGGGCCCCTGCACCTGTGTGGGAGACCTGGAAGAAGTACCTGGCTCCTGGCTTCGGATAGCGCAGCTCTGGCCCTTGGGAGTGAACCAACAGATTGAAAATCTTTCTTTCTGTCTCTCCCTCTCACTGTCTATAATTCTACCTCTCAAATAAATAAATAAAACCCTTAAAAAAAAAAAAAACCGAGGCTCTAGAAATAGAAAGGAGCAGAGGTGATGACATCAGTAGAGAAAGTCACCAGGACCTACTTTATATCTTTTCAGGGGGAAAGAAAAATAGATGCGGTTACAGAAGAGTGCTGATTCCAATAGGATTAGGATGCAGTTGTAGAGGGTGTTGGACGAAAGCCCTGGTGAGGCTGTGTGTTTACTGAATACTAGTCAAAAGAATTTAGAAAGAGTGATTTTGGTGGCTAGCTAAGTAAGTAGAACTTGGGTTTTTTTTTTTTTCATTTTTAACATTTTTATGTTCTCACTTCTGAAGATGGGCAAGAGAGTATTTTGTTTAATTTTTTATGATAATTAAAATTGTAAATGATCACCTGACTCAACAAATGGGTAATTCAAAAGATGCAAGCTGGCAAAAAGGAATAAGTTTGTGTTTTTTTTTTAAGATTTATTATATTTATTTGAAAGAGTTACAGAGAGAGGTAGAGACAGAGAGAGAGGTCTTTCATCTGCTGATTCACTCCCCAGATGGCCGCAACAGCTGGAGCTGCGCCGATCTGAAGCCAGGAACCAGGAGCTTCCTCCGGGTCTCCCATGTGGGTGCAGGGGCCCAACAACTTGGGCCATCTTCTACTGCTATCCCAGGCCATAGCAGAGAGCTGGGTCAGAAGAGGAGCAGCCAGGACTAGAAGCGGTACCCATATGGGATGCTGGTGCTTCAGGCCAGGGCATTAGCCCACTGTGCCACAATGCTGGCCCCCTTTTTTTAATTTTATTATTTATTCACTGTTTAATGTGGAAGTGTTTGTGGGTATAAAGCAGCCTTGAAGAGCTTAAAGTCTACACAAGGACAGCTATCAGTAACCATTTTCTGTCTACTGTGGCAATTGCATTGTTTGATATCTGCAATTTGAGAGCCCAGAATTACAACAGTTAGCTTAGCCTGGGCTGGGTGACAAGCGTGAGGAGAGACATTCGTTGCAGAAGAACACCATTTCATCTTTGATGTCTGTGCTACTGGCAGATCCTTCCTTTTTGTGGTCTCCTACTTAGAAGAAAACACTCAACTGTGTGTGATCAAAATGTCTTCCATTCTTTCTAGAAGTGGTGCTGAAAGAGATCCATCATCAGGGTGGGGGGGATATTAGAGTTTCAACTTTTATTTTACTCTCTGAAAAGAATGAAAAAGCTTAGGTTTTAATAAAATATAATGTATGGACTGATAAGAGTACATTTATATAGCATGTTCTATACATATTTGATGCAATTAGGTTTACTGGATTGAGTGGAAAAAAATCACACATTTCTTTACAATTAGTGTTGTATTCACTCAGTGCATAACTATTTATGGAAAAATAAATCCATTTAGACAGAAAACTTATTTCAGATTTGCCTCTGGAAGAAGTTTTCATGCTATTTTGGAAATGCAATTGTCTTCATCACTGTGTAGAAAGTTGTGGTAAACTTGGAAGGGGAAAGCTCAGGAGCTGATGTCTATTAGATCTGTCATCTACTTGACATGTGGTCATTCCTTTGTCTACTGAAGACCCTGGAACCCTGATCATGTTCTTTCTCTTCATCCAAATTTCTACCGTCATCCTGGGCAGAAGAAAGACTCTTTCTGTCATTCATTTTTAATCATTCTGCTTTGCAGTTTTCTTCCACAGCTGACATCCAGAGGAGAGCCATTTTTGCAAACTTAATCCCTAGTATAGTAGTGTCTGTCATGGTTTTCTGGTTCTCTGGGACTCTTGATCCTTTTCACAGGCACCTTTGATTTGACTAAGACCTTCAGGATGTCACCCCTCCCTTTTCTAGTGTTTGCTAACACTTCCTAACTTCTTTCTCTAGTCTCCCTAGATTCTATTGTTCATTCCATGTTTCATCTGCTTTTGCTTCTCTCTAATTTTTATGCACATGTACATACATACACACACATGTGCGCTTAAGTATATTTCAGAGTTTTAAGACCGTCAGCCGGCGCCGTGGCTCAATAGGCTAATCCTCCACCTTGCGGCGCCGGCACACCGGGTTCTAGTCCCGGTTGGGGCGCCGGATTCTGTCCCGGTTGCCCCTCTTCCAGGCCAGCTCTCTGCTATGGCCAGGGAGTGCAGTGGAGGATGGCCCAGGTGCTTGGGCCCTGCACCCCATGGGAGACCAGGAAAAGCACCTGGCTCCTGGCTCCTGCCAGGATCAGTGCGGTGCGCCGGCTGCAGCGGCGGCCATTGGAGGGTGAACCAACGGCAAAGGAAGACCTTTCTCTCTCTGTCTCTCTCTCTCACTGTCCACTCTGCCTGTCAAAAAAAAAAAAAAAAAAAAAGACCGTCGAGCTTTTAATTGTTTTCAGTGTATTGCCCCAATGCAAGAAAATCCTCCATGACAGGAAGCCAGAAGTCCCTCCACTAATTTCCATGTTAATCATTCTTTGTTCTCCTCCTATCTCTTACTTATTAGTAATCTATCTTGATTCTCCTTGGCAAGAGTCCCTTTCTTTATGTGTCCTATAAGTTAAGGTGTTCTGAAGGTGTCATTCCTTATGTCTCTCCAAATTCTGTCGGCTCTCTCTGGATGAAACTACTAATATTAATATACTAGCATATTACCTACCAATTAGTATGCCGATGATTAAAATCCATGCCTCCAGCCTAGATTTCTCTTGTGTGTTTCATGTGCCCCCCAGAACTCAGTATTTCCCAACCCTCTCATGTTTTCCTGTCCTTAAGAACGTCATTCTATCTGGAAACCATGAACTCATTTGAAACTCTCTTCTCTCCATATCCCAGCTCAACTATTAATGTCTCAAGTCCTGTAACATGCTCCTTTACATCTGAGTGTCTATCCCTAAAATGGTAATTGTCAGGTAGCTAAATTAAGTTCATGAGGTGGGAGCCATACCTCCCCCACTCCATGTAATCTTATCCACCCACCTGTCAATTAGATGACCCCTTTCCCAGGAAGTACTTCCCCTTACCTGGGACCTGGGGCTGTACCACACATGCACTTCTGTTTTTAAGCTCAAAAAGAGCTGGGTAAAATGAAAGTGCTTTGTCTCCACGTGCACCCAAAGAAAACCTGGTATGAAAATCACTCTCATTAGTTTTCCTGGCCTAATGTCCCTAAATAAAGCCCATATGTGTGTGTATGTGTGTGTGTGTACTGTTTTCCTCATTTTGTAAATAAACATTATCACATTGCATGTCATATTTGCACTTGTATTTAGAATGATTCTCAAAAGGCAAGAGTTTGGAAGAGAAATTAGGCCCAACCTAGCCCGCAACATCTCTATCTGCATCCCCAGTGCTGCTTAGTTTATCGTTTATCCTCACCATTTCTCTTATCTCTGAAATTTTTCTCACGCTTGCAGTGTCTTACCCCTCATATTGCATCTTCTGCATTCCTGAGACCACGCTGTCTA